TTTTAGTTACGTTAAAGTTACGTCGGAGGGAGTAAAGGTAAAACGTAAAAGTAAAGAAAATAAATTATTTAGTAAAACGACTTCGTTACTGACTATATATATATATATATAGTAAAGTAAAAAAATTAAACTAAAAAATTTTCACAAAAGGAAGTAAATGGTTAATTTTTCTTATATTATTGAATTTCAATTATAAACATTACAAGTTTAAGAATTCTGTCTTATGCACTAAAACAAGAGAGACACAACTGTGCACAGATTAAAGTACATATTAATGACGTAACATGGGGGTCTAAGTGCGTTTAAAAAGTATGTGTATGTTTAATCGGTGGGATTTTATTTATCCGTCTGAGATTGCTGGATCGACGAGACCACAATTGGATCGCTTTTCTCCCTCTTATGGAGCTACATCATAATGTTCCACAAAACAAAAAAACAAGTCTAACCTCGTTAGAAGATTGTTTTCCTTTATGGCACTTTGGCCATTTACCAATTAATCATCTATTCAAACGAGTTGGGCGTGTACAAAATGACTTTCTCCTTAAGCATCTGGAGGCCAAATTCAGTAGAAAACAGACAACAACAACAGATCTTCTACCACTGACCATTCCATGCCAAAAGTTGTCCAGGAATGAAGAGAAGGAAAAATATTAAGTAAATGCTGAAGCGTTTATAAAAGTAGGCTGAAACATGGCTGCCAAGTCAACATACCGTATAGTTTATTCGTGCCTAGTGCACAAATCCTTAAATTCCTATTAATTACTTCAATCTAGTTATAACATGTATATAATCTCATTATTTATTAACAACATTCAATCGTCTATTCTAGACTGCCATACTTTAATTAAATAAATAGTTATTTTATACTGACAAATTGTAATATTAAATTAAATAGCATGCTAAAGTAAGTCTAGGCCTTTAGAAATACCAAACTTCACACTTGAACTTAAATACAATGGTAGTTACCTAGTATAATACAAAGTTCTTCAATTAAGCAGTAACTTCTATTAAAAATCCTTTTGTAATGCAGTTCAGGAAAACGAAAAGTAAAGACTAGAATGCTTAAGTATGCGAACTTACAACGCTAAAATCCTGGGTTCGATTTTCCGAGGTGGACACAGCAGATAGCTAAATGTGGCTTTGCGCCAAAACAAACATATAAACTTAGATACAAAATAAATATATAGTATTCCTAGTGCAAACCTACTCCAGGACTATCTGCACTAACCAACTCTAATTTTGTAGTGATAGACTATAGGGAATACAACTAGTCAACATCACCCACTGTAAGCTCTTGCGCTACTCTTTACTAACGAATAGTGGGATTGACCGTACATTATAACGCTCCCATGGTTGCAAGGGCGAGCAGGTTAAAGGGCGGTATTCAAACACGCGACTGCACAAAGTTGAAATATGTCTGTTTTTGTATCATTCGTTCTCCTTCCCTAGCCTTATCTTGAAGAATCGGAAGAAAATAAAACATCAACGAAAAAAAAAGAAAAAAGAAAAAGATTATTTTTTGACAGTCATGATATAAAATATCTTATAAAGTATTTCATCTTTATCTGTTTTACATTCAACTTCATCTCATAGTGCTCTACAGCAAGAGATTAACTTGTAATTTTACTTATTTCTTTTTACTGTAGAAGCGAATAAAAAACATTAAAATTATCATGTCTTCTCAAAACATAATTTTACACACAATGGTGTAGTTTCAAGTTCTCTAGCTGTCTTATTTCAGTGTCTGTCTAACTTGATGAAGCTTATCCTATCACACGTTGACGTCATATCGAGAAAACCATCAGCCATCGTGACCTTATGATTTGAATCTGTTCGATGTTTCCTCCATGAATAACAATCAAAGACAAGGGACTAATGTCACTGAACGTTTGAAAATTAATGGACTGAAGCAATAGCTTACAACAGACAGGCACTGCGGGTTCCTTAGGGCACAATATTTAAACAAACAGACAGATAGATACATAGAAAAGTATCTTTTCTACAATTACATGTAAAAAAAAAAATAATTGCGGCTCACGAAGCCTCATCTTTATGTTCTTTTTTTTACTTCTTCTAATTGGATTTTAATTTTTACGGTGCTTAAAGAAATGTGTTGTTTAATACATTATAAAGTTGTGATAGGCTTAGTACGACACTCCTCTACCAAGGAAACAAGTATCACTTTCTTGACGAAGAAGTAACTTACACCGTATTCTTGTCGGAAACAAGTATCACTTTCTTGACGAAGAAGTAACTTACACCATATTCTTGTCGGAAACAAGTATCACTTTCTTGACGAAGAAGTAACTTACACCATATTCTTGTCGGAAACAAGTATCACTTTCTTGACGAAGAAGTAACTTACACCATATTCTTGTCGGAAACAAGTATCACTTTCTTGACGAAGAAGTAATTTACACGACATTCTTGTCGGAAACAAGTATCACTTTCTTGATGAAGAAGTAACTTACACCGTATTCTTGTCGGAAACAAGTATCACTTTCTTGACGAAGAAGTAAGTTACACCGTATTCTTGTCGGAAACAAGTATTACTTTCTTGATGAAGAATTTGCTTACACCGTATTCTTGTCGGAAACAAGTATCACTTTCTTGACGAAGAAGTAACTTACACCGTATTCTGGTCGGAAACAAGTATCTCTTTGTTGACGAAGAAGTAACTTACACCGTATTCTGGTCGGAAACAAGTATCACTTTCTTGACGAAGGAGTAACTTACATGGTATTCTTGTCGGAAACAAGTATCACTTTCTTGATACTGTAATTCTGTAATTTTCCACTGGTTCTCACCTGTTAACCTTTTGCAGATCGACCAATTTTCATACTTTGTTTGTTTGTTTGTAATTAAGCACAAAGCTACACAATGGTCTATCTGTGCTCTGTCCACCACGGGTAATTTTCGTACACTGTAATTTTTCCACTGGTTCTCACCTGTTGACCTTTTGTAGATGGACCAATGATCATACACTGTAATTTTCCACTGGTTCTCACTTGTTGACCTTTTGTAGATGTACCAATGATCATACACTGTAATTTTCCACTGGCTCTCACTTGTTGACCTTTGGTAGATGGGTCAATTGTTATGAACATTTGTGATAAAGTTCGACATTAAGGTTATTCTTTCTTGAAATATTTTAACCAAGTTTTTCTTAAAAATGACGCGGTTTCCGCTGGTCATCCCACTTAGTTTCGAAACTCATAATGAACATCATTACATGCGCTCCATAGGGGGTCTTTAAAGTTCACCAAAAAATAACAACACAACACGTAAATAAATTCAGTAATTACTAGACTTCTGGTTTGATGCTAATTTGAAAATCAATCACTTTAAACAACATAGCACTTAAAACTTCTTAACTTTTCAAGTAATGTTGAAATTAAACAGTTGAATACATAAGTACGTCCAAAACTTTAATCTGGACTTCTCATTTAGGATCGAACTTCATACCGCAACACTTGGGCCAATATTCAAATATGTGTGTTAAATAATGGACTTTACATCTTATAATCAACTTCCCAATAGAAGAGATAAATGCATACAATTGTTATTGAACATATCACTTGATGATGAACTGGACAACAAACAGATGAACAGATGTGATTATCACTGGGATTAATTAACACTTGATGATGAACTGGACAACAAACAAATGAACAGATGTGATTATCACTGGGATTAATTAACACTTGATGACAAACTGGACACTAAACAGATGAACAGATGCGATTATCACTGGGAATAATTAATACTTAATGATAAACTGGACAACAAACAGATGAACAGATGTGATTATCACTAGGATTAATTAACCCTTGATGACAAACGGGACAACAAACAGATGAACAGATGTGATTATCACTAGGATTAATTAATACTTAATGATAAACTGGACAACAAACAGATGAACAGATGTGATTATCACTAGGATTAATTAACCCTTGATGACAAACGGGACACTAAACAGATGAACATATGCGATTATCACTGGGAATAATTAATACTTAATGATAAACTGGACAACAAATAGATGAACAGATGCGATTATCACTGGTATTAATTACCACTTGATGACAAACTGGACAACAGAATAGGTGAATACATGAAATGATCATTGAACTCAGCACTTGGTGACGAAAAGGACAACAAAGTACATAAATTCCAATTTGACCTCTAGATTACTAATTATTTAGGCCGGTCGTGGTGTAGGATTAACGTACTGTACAGTAAACCCGAGGATCCGTGGTTCGTGTCTCGTAAATTCTGTTTCACTCTTTGGAGTCGTGGGTGCGTTATAAAAGTGAAGGACAAATTCTACTGTTTGATTAAATCCAAATAGGTGGTAGTGGGTGTTGTTGACTCCCTGTCTTCCATCTGGTCTATCTGATTAGAAACTAAGTAACGGAACTCTATACAGATATCTGAATTAAAGATACACAAACATGCCAGTCAAACTGGTAAATGAAAGTATAGCGAATGATGAGAATCTGGTTATACGTTGTATATATTGATATAGTTGTATGACAATTTTTAGCATGTGGCACTAGGTACAGTTGTAGCCAATTCCTTCTGTTTTATCATTTCCCTTCAGAACTATGTCATCAGTAGTTGCCTTCAGTGCCCACATCATCTGCAACAAGATTCCTGGTCTGACCGCCACCCAGAGGAGGATCTGTCGTGTCCGACCTGACGCCATAGTGGCTATTGGGAACGGCGCAAAGCTTGGAATAAAAGAATGCCAACGTCAGTTTCAGTACCACAGATGGAACTGTACAGCTGTTGGTAATGACAGTGTATTTGGTCACGTGGTGGTTGTTGGTGAGTGCAGTAGAACTTACTACTTTACGTTTCCATATTTACTATATATTAATATTAGATTAACAGTGATGTCGACTGTAAGCCTAGCCACTTTCACTTATCAGGCACACCGGGAGTAATTTTTATTCGTGTGTAGTTGTAAAGAAAATACTGTTCGTCATTTCGCTAACTCGCGAATCAGTCTCCGTTTGTACGTGGAATAACGTTTGTGAATAATTACTTTTATCTGCCATTTATCTGAATAGTAAAAACATTTAACAGGATGAACTGCTCGTATAGGGAGAAAAAAACCTTTAAGTAAGTTATTTCTCTGTTCTCAGTAGCATGGTGTGGTGGTTACGACGGTCGACTCGTACTATCTTTGGGTCGCGGGATCGAAACCCGTCTCTCTTTCAGATATGGGAGTGTTACAATGTGACGGTTAATCCCACTATCTGTTGTTAAAAGAGTGGCTTGAGTGTTCGCAGTGAGTGGTGTTAACTAACTGCCCTTCCTTTAGTTACTCACTTCAAAATTGGGGACTGCTCCCGTAGATAGTGCTTGAGTAGCTTTGCGCGAAAATTCAAGAAATAAATAAACAAACTGTCCTCAGTGACCTGTTGTTATAGGATATTTACAGATTGACACGAGAAGATACAAAAAACAGTTGAAACTTAGTCCAAATTGCTGTAACGTTTCAACAACTTCTAGAGTTTTGGAATGTAACATTTCTTTCTAAGACATAGCGAATAGCGAAGTCATATATTCAACAGCATGCCCCTCTCAGTGGCTCGACGGTATGTTTGAGTGCTAAAAAAGCTCAAAGTCGGATTTCGATACCCATAGTGGTCAGAGCAACAGGTAGCTCATTGTGTAGCTTTGTGCTTAACAACACACCAACAACAACATGCTCAGTTAAATATATAATATACATTGAATTTTATCTTATAAAGAAACATAGAATTTCCTCACTGAATTGTATACTTAAGATAATATACCTTAGGTCAAAATTGTTGTTATTACACACACACACACACACACAAAAAATGAAACGAACATTTGAGAAACTCGCAGAAAATTCTTCTGTTGTTGAGTTTTAAAAATCACGGTTAGGCTTAAGGAAAATGTTGATAAATAATTGTTTTTCTTATTGGTTTCACAAACATGCATTTAATTTTCAGATAATTTAAATGCAGTTCAAATTTCTTAGGTTAAGTAATTCTTCGGGTTTTAATGTTCGCGTACAACTTTGTTTTTCAGGAGTTTGTAAAGTTTTAGTTTTCGCGTACAACTTTGTTTCTTCGGGAGTTTATAAAGTTGTAGTGTTCGCGTACAACCTTGTTTCTTCAGGAGTTTATAAAGTTGTAGTGCTCCGCGTACAACCTTGTTTTTTCAGGAGTTTATAAAGTTGTAGTGTTCGCGTACAACCATGTTTCACCAGGAGTTTATGAAGTTGTAGTGCTCGCGTACAACCTTGTTTCTTCAGGAGTTTATAAAGTTGTAGTGCTCGCGTACAACCTTGTTTCTTCAGGAGTTTATAAAGTTGTAGTGCTCGCGTACAACCTTGTTTCATCATGATTTTATAAAGTTGTAGTGCTCGCGTACAACCTTGTTTCTTCAGGAGTTTATAAAGTTGTAGTGCTCGCGTACAACCTTGTTTCTTCAGGAGTTTATAAAGTTGTAGTGCTCGCGTACAACCTTGTTTCTTCGGGAGTTTATAAAATTTTAGAAAGCTTAAAATGGCCTTCATCATGTCATAATTTTTATAGTTATTGGGTGGAACTTATCTGCATCTGATGGTGACACCAACATGGTAACCGAGAGCTGAACTGGGCTTTTTGTGATAGTTCTACCCATAGTTACCAGCTAACCCTTCTGCACAGGTGACAGTAAATAATTATGACCCGAACATGGTAATTGAGAACTGAAACTGGGCGTCATGTGATAATTCTGCCCATAGTTACCAGCCGACCCTTCTGTACAGGTGATAGTGAATAATTATGACCCGAACATGGTAACTGAGAAATGAAACTGGGCGTCATGTGATAATTCTGCCCATAGTTACCAGCCAGGTGATAGTGAATAATTATGACCCGAACATTGTAACTGAGAACTGAACCTGGGCGTCGTGTGATAATTCTGCTCATAGTTACCAGTCGACCCTTCTGTACAGGTGATAGTGAATAATTATGACCCGGACATGGTAACCAGCTGAACGTACCTGCGGGCGATAGCAGGTGGATCAGTATTAGTACTTATCCACGGTAGAAAAAGCGAAAGACTAGTTTATAAAGTATGGTTTAATCATTATTCACAGCAGTAACAGGTTAGGTAATACAACTGTAATATTATCATTATGTGATACCTGTGTCCCATAGTGATCTACGAATCAGTTTATATAGCGCCACCTGGTGAGAAACAGTTTCACCAAGTAACGGCTTTACAGTAAAATAACTCAAACGGTTCCCGGGCCCTCAGGGCACGCTGTGTATACAGTTCATTGTGAGTGAGACACAGTTTTGCAGAGTGATGAGCTGAAAGAATTTAATGTGAAGAAAATCGGTCATACTGGAAAGTTAGTTGTTATAGAAACGAGAGAAAATATATTAGAATGTGCGCACTTTATTCATTAAACAATACCCCTCTAACTTCCAATCAAAACAGGAAACCGTAAGAAACGGTCTCGTTAGTCAAGTCACAGCTTGTGAGCCCGAGTCAACGCTTAAAAGCAAGACCCTTGACTCGAGTCACGATGTGTAGATCCGAGTCAACGCTCAAAAACGAAACTCGTGAATCAAGTCACAGCTTGTAAGCCCGAATCAACGCTCAAACGCAAGACCCTTGATTCGAGTTACGGTGTGTGAACGCTCAAACTTTTTAAACTGTATTCGACCACTAGGGTTTGGTTTTATCGTCAAGTAAAATCCTATTGACTGGGACGTGTACTTCTCTCGCTAATTAAAAGTCAGAGATGACGTTATAACAAATCGTATAACATTCTATATTAAATCTAAACCAGAGAGTCAATTATAAGAAAACAATGAAGTCATAACTTATTAATAAAATAAACACTAGCTTTCTGCTTTGAACCCGTCAATAGGTTTCGGTTTTTTATAAAATTGTTGGTCATTCATTAGTAGGTTTGCTTCAAATGTTTCGAGCAAATTTACTCACGAATGTCCGCCCATAGCCGTCGCTAATTTTGAGCTGACAAAGAAAAGGAGAGACAAGCTGTCAAAAGCATACACTGATAGCTCTTGGGCTGGCTGCTCTTGTCTAAATGAACACACACACACATCCCCAAACCAAGTCTTGATTATTGCGCCGAGGCCATGAAACATAAAACAAATATGTTGACCAAATCTGAGGTATAGTTAAATAGAGTTCTTCCAGGATGTACCCGGGAGATGTAGATTTAGAATAATTTGTACTGATATTTATAATTTACAAATATATGTAGCAAAATTTAAGAAATACAACTGATTAAATCATCTTACCTTACTAGAACAACAATTAAGAACACAATTGTATATATATATATATTAAAGATTAATAACATGTTTCTTTTGGTTAATTTCGCGGAAAGCTATTCGAGAGGTATCTGTGCTAGCCGTCCCGAATTTAGAAGTGATACATTAAAAGGAAGGCAGCTAGTCAACAATATCCACAGCATACTGTTTGGTTACTCTATTACCAGCGGATTAGCCGTCACATTTTAACACCTCCACGGCTGAAAGGGCGAGTATGTTCGGCTGTGGGTTTCGATCCCGTGAATAGCAGATTGCGCATGGAATAAACGCGTAGTATTATTATTCTTTGATGTTATTTTGTCCTTCAGTAGCTTTCATTCAATAACATAATTTCTGTCACGTGGTTGTTGAATAACTGTAAAACTTTTCATACAAGAAGGGAGCTATTGTAAGTCACAAACCCGAAATATCTTACACTTTGTGTTAAACCTATCCTCTTATTTATAATCCAGCCATTTATCTTCTGCTTTAACTTCTACGATTAGCCTAATATTTCATATGTACATCAAACAGCCATTTGTGTTATTACTTAGGTTAGAATTATCTAGCTTATCTAAGGCAAACAGCAGTTGGTCCTGTACCTTTAAAATCTAGGCTGTAAACCCCTCTAAACATCTAAAATAAATTACGTCAGAGGTATAGAAACGCGGTCAAAATGTGTCAGTATTATGGAACATTACACAGTACTAACAATCCATAGGATTAAGTAACATCCTTTTAAAAGAATTAACGGTATTGATAATTTTTATTACTATGATCTACTAATGATTAATCATTTCAAAACAATATCTGCATTAGAGTGTATCTATATAAATATAATAATATTATCTGTTGTCTGTTGTATGTCCATGTAACTATTTAGCAGGGTGTGGATGGATCTTCCCCCAAATTGGCACAGAGGTTATTTAGGGCCGTATGGGGGCACATACAAATTTTCAGTTTTGAATTTTACATTTGCGGTTTTTATTGGCGTTTTTTACCACCATCTCACCCCCTGTTGATGGATCTTTACTAAAGTTGATGTGGAGGTTTATTGGGCCCATGGAGAGATACATATAAATTTGCAGTTTCACATTTTGTGTTTTGCAGTGTTTATAGGTGTTTTTGCGTTATTTACAATTACATATAAGGGAAGCAACTTTTCATATCCTAAGATAATCTTTACAAAACTTCCGACTAGGGTACGGGTACTCCAACTAGTTTTAAATATATTTGAAAACATGTACAGTAGCATCCTTAGTATTAACAATGTCTAACAATACGTAGTACTAGATGTCTAGTTGTACAATATGTAACGGTATTAACAATATGTAGTACTAGCTGTCTAGTTGTACAATATTTAACGGTATTAACAATACATTTTAATAGTTGTCTAGTTGAACAATATTTAACGGTATTAACAATACATAGTATTAGTTGTCTAGTTGTACAATATTTAACGGTATTAACAATATGTAGTAGTAGTTGTCTAGTTGTACAATATTTAACGGT